CCCCTGGCAGCCTGCTGGTCTGGGGGGTGGGGGGGAGGGAGTCAAACTGGAACTTGTTGCTACTTGCAAATCTGCCTGCTGCCACTCCTGATAGAGGGCCCCAAGATACTGCTAAAGTGGCAGCTGCAGGAAAGCCATAAAGGTTGCCTGTCATACTTCCTTCCCCGGTTGTAGGATTTCATCTCTTAACCTTGCCCCTCTGTCCATTTTAGAAGAAGGATTTAATCTCTTCCCAACAAGCCTTGGCCCTCCCTGGGAGGTAGCGAGGTTTGAGGGACTCAGCAGAGGACGGAGGCAGGAGCTGCTCAGCTCTAATCCCTCTCTCTCTGAAGGGCCTCTGGTGAGTGGTTTAACCTTTCTGCATGGGCTGCTTCCCATCCGTTCCAGTTCTGCACCAGTAGATCACAGTGCTCTACCCTGATTACCAGTGGTATAAGGCGAGAGATAGGCCAGGCCTCTTTTCCTCACTGGGCTCCCCCCATCTCTCCCCCACTCCCCCACATTCTGGGACTTTCTATCAGGGAAACCCATTTATTTCTGGCTCTCCACTCCACTCTGGACTGTATTTGCCAGGCTTCCTGCTGTGAGTCACTGAAACACCCTCAAGACTTTAATTCCATTTCCCTCTGAACCGGGTTGCGCTGTCTGGTTAAAATCAGCATCCTCTTTTCCCTCTGGCCACCAGTCCCAGATGCCCACTTCCCTCCCCAGTTCTGCCCTAAGTCCCAACTCACTGAAATATTGGTTAGAAAACTAATCCTCTACCAATCTGGCTGTTGCTCCCCTGCGCTGTGTCCATGGCCGCTTTGGTGGTAGTGGCAAGATGCAGTTCAGGGGATGAGGACTGAGTTTGCATTGAATTTGGATCAGCAGGGGAGGACAGGGCAGCTAAGTGAGCAGGGCAGTAACTCTGTACTCAGACTCCTGAGTTCTATTGCTCACCCCCTGTGTGGTCCCAAGCACAGCACTGACCCTCAGTTTAGCTATCTTTGAAATGGCCATAGGTAGGACCACTTCCTACCTCCCAACAGTGCTGGAGCTAGAGCTGGGTGGATTTTTTTCAGTGAATAGAAAAAAACTCCAGAAAATTGTTTTTTGGAGGGATCAAAACTAGTCCCCAAATGAGGTTAAATTAAGTGAATAGTTTTGCCCCCCCAAAAAAGGGGTTGGGGGGGATTTCTGAACATGCCAGAACATTTTGTTTCAACAGCTTCCAACATGGCTGATTGGACTTGCAATTTCCAGATGGTAGTTTCTGGTGGGGAAAGATATTATAATCAGGTTAAATTGCCTGAGAAATGAATTGGGTCAAATGAAACATTTCAGGGTGATCCAAAACAAAACATCCTTTCATTTTTTCAATAATGTTTCTATTTGTCTCAGACTCAGTTCCCCGCTCTCCCCTCACCTCCCTGATTTTTCATTTCATTCACCTGGACCTGAAAAATGCCATTATTCACCCAGCTGGAGCTTAATTCATTAATGTTTGCAAAGTGCTTTCTAATCCACCAGTGAGAGGCCTCTTGGGGAAGTGGCGAGGGGAATCCCCCAGGTCTGTCCCTTGGGTACACTGAAATCCCTCCTCTCAGGGCTACAGCAGGCATCTCCAGACCTTCGATGAGTCTGACACTTTGGTTTGTGAATGCACATTCCCTCTAGGTGGGGAACGAAGCAATGACAGAACTGGAATAAACATGCTGCAGATGCCATTCCTATGTAATCCGGAAGATTAATTAGGGACTGTGCTAATAGCTAGACTCCAAATGGACCCTCTGCATTTAAGACCTGGCTCCAGCTTCAGCCAAAGCAGATGCCACCTCTTGGGAATTATGTCCCTGCCCCCAGTGCCAAAAGGCATATTTTGTTCGCAGTTACATGACATAGAATTTGCTGGAGCAGAACCAGGACCTGGGTTCAGCCCATTCCTGTGGGAAATGTCCCTTTCCCTGCAGATCTGAGCAGCTGCCCTTCATGGCAGCCACACACCGCGCTCTCTAAATTGCTAGATTATATTAAGGACAGGAGATGAGATGCTCTAATCCTATGTATCATCAGCCTGAGCTTTACAGGGCAGCTTCCCAAGAGAGCAAAAGCAATGTGAATAGGCAGGAGAAACCTTTGGTGCTGGGGCAGATCAACCCTTCACATTGTTGTCTTTGGTATTGCCCAAAAGCTGCCATGAGTCATGGATGGCTTGGCTTTCCTGGTGTTTCCCAGCGTAGGACATGTTTGTCTTTCCAGCATTTGTCCTAGCACACAGTAGAGCTCATTAAGAAATCCTCTGGAGGGGAAGGCTAATGTAGGTGGTCTATACTGAGCCTTCTGTGTTGCCTTCAGTGACGAAGCCACTTCAGCACAGCTGTGCCCCATTTGAAGAATCTGGTCGACCAGGGCAGGTACTGGACTTGAGCAAATTTTGAAAAGAGTGAGTCTGGCTAGGTTAAGAGTCTGCAAAAAGGACTGAGGGGAAAGTGTGCTGCCTGGAGTATGGATCCCAGGCCAAGAAAAATAAAATGATAAAATGGGAAAGCTAGCAGCTGATCCCTCAGACTGATTCTGATACTCTGGATTTACTCCCACCATAACCAGAAAGACAGTTTCAGAGAGCTGAGAGACATAGTTAGCCCTTTCACAGAATCTAATGAAGTGAGCTTCAGCCCATGAACTTATATAGCATATCTCATGTCTATAAGATGCAAATCTACCCTTCCTTCCAAGGTTCAGAGAGCCCCAAGATGGGAAAGACCTCCCTATATCACCTCCTTCCTTGAAAAGCACCAAAAGATCCCCTGTGGTCCTGTGTTTATGTACCTTCGAAAGCTGTAGGGCTTCCACTGCCTCCCCTGGGGAACCATCCCACAGGAAAACCAATCTCACTGCCACAAAGAGGGTTCTGCTATTCTGCCTGAATCACCTCTTTCTTAATTCCATCCTATGGGGGAGCTCTTAGACTGGGTCTCCCAAAGGGAAAGGCTGGAAATGGCATTATCAGGGATACTGAAAACAGAGAAAATGCAAGGCAGTGTGGTGCGGGCAGCAGAGCTGGGAGGCACCTTGGGCCAAAGAATAGGGCCTAGAGCAGGAATTCTCCTTTTCCTACCACCCTACCATTGAAGTCACTAGTTCTATGCCCGTTGATGCTAGATCCGAGCATCCAGCCCCAGGCTAAAAGTTCTCCATTTTCACAGGCAAGATCCCTGAGGGGAAGGGAAAATGCATGTGTAGGAAATATTTCTGCCTTTCACCAGATTGACAATGGCAGTGAACTTGATGCACTGTATGAATTAGCAGAGGGAGTGGCCAGCAGAGGAGAAAGATCCCCTTTACTTCCATCTGTCTGGGTCACCGGCATTGATAATCAGGGAAGGAGGAAACAGCAGGTAGTTCGGGAAATTGCTGGTAGGGGCAGCCATGCATGAATTTGCACATTGATCAGGGATCAGAACTTTGGGCCTCTATACTTGGCCTTATTGTGAAACCATGGACTGATCACCTGTCCGCTCCAGGGCTTGTTTTCCCATCTATACCTAGAGACCATATCTGTGGGCATTGTGCAAAGTTAGTGTCTGTCAAACACTGTGAGGTCCCCTGTTGGGAGATGGTGATGACAGCCCCGTGAATCTCTGGCCAAGTCATATTCCAATTATGATGATGTCCCACTAGGATACTGGGAAAAACCATGCTGAACAAAGGAGTGCCTAGTGTTTTATTATCTCTAGTATTCCAGGAGTCCCTTGAGGTTCCAGCTGAGACTGAGCCCCCCTAACACTAGGTGTTACATGAAGACTTAGTAAAAAGCAGCCCTTGCTTCCAAGAGCAGAGAAGTTTAGGGACAAAGAAGAAGTAACTGGTTCCAGATCACACACTAGGTGTGCAACAGAGATAGAAACAGAGTGCAGGTTCTCTGGGTCTGAGCCCGTGGCTGGGAACTAGTCCTCCTGCCTGTGAGATCCCCACTGACATGAGAACTGCAGTGGAGGAGCCTTGTCAAACCTTTGGGCCCAGCTGTGCAGGTGGACTAGCTCTGGCCACACCTACCTAACCATCCTATCCCAGGAAGCATTTCAGGGCTCACCTCTTGTTTTAACCCTTTGCTTCCCATGTTTCTCTACAGACCGCAAGTTCCTCATTGCGAATGCACAGATGGAGAACTGCGCCATTATCTATTGCAATGATGGCTTCTGCGAGATGTTTGGTTACTCCCGGGTGGAGGTCATGCAGCGCCCTTGCACCTGCAACTTCCTTACTGGGCCTGACACCACCAAGAACTCCATTTCACAGCTGACACAGGCCTTGCTGGGCTCTGAGGAGTGCAAGCTGGAGATCCTCTACTACAGGAAAGACAGTAAGAGCCCCGCATTGCAGCAGCTGCCTGGGTTGTCTCAGCATTGCAGTGCCATGTGTGTGTCAGTATGGGGTTGGCATGGGGTAACTGGCTGGAAGTTTCACCCCAGGAGTTGTTTTTCATGGGAATGATTACTGTGTAAACAGCACCTAGACTGGCCTGGCACTGGGTAGAACAGAGGTTTGATTCTCCCCTTACACTGATGGATCTCCACATCCTTTGCCAGCACAGAAAGGATTTGGGATCAGGGAAGTGGAGGTGGGAGGAAGTTGTACGTGTTCGAGGAACCAGTGATATGTACACCAGACACAGCAGAAGCAAACTCTGTGCTCTGGGGGCATTCTTTCTGTTCTTCTCTAGCTCACTCTTCCTCATGGCCTGTCCAACAATGGCCCTTTGCTGGTGCATTTTGTACATCTGGTCCCAGATCACCTTCCTAGCAGTGAGATGCACTGATCTTAAAGCTACCCAGCCATGCTGGGCTAAGGGAACCTCTGTGAGCAGGTTACATCCAGCATTCCCTCTAAGCTGTGCGGTGTGTGCAGCTGCACAGGCATGCCTGGCAGTGCAGCATGAGCATGCCTGCATGACTGCACATGTCACGCAGCTTAGAGGGAATGCTGCTTACATCCGCTCTAAGCATCCAGCAGCCCCAGTGTGCCTGGTTCTCTGTTGCTTTGCACCTGGTGCTCTTTTTGACACTGCAGTGCTGTCACTCTTCTGACATGATAGCATTTTGTACCCATTTTTGCATGGAGGTGATTGATTGCATGAGGTGCAGAGCAAAATCGGGTGCTATGTGCCATTCTAGGTTTGCCCCAGGTCATGTGGGGTCAGGATCTGGCTGACTCTACCTGCACAGGGGAGAAGAGTCAAGGTGTGGGAATGGCAACTTGTTCCCTGAGCCTTTGTGCGTTTCTTGAGATACATGAGTTGAGCAGAAAGTTCTTCTGTCAGGACTGACCTCCAAAGTATGGACTGTACCTGTTTCCAAACCTTTGATGGTAATTCCATTCTCAGAGACCAAACCTTGTTCATCTCAAGCTGTCTTCAGGGTGACTTATCTGGCCATTATCATAGGATGTAAGCACTCCTCAGACTTCTGTGTAGTCATCAATAATGCCTCAGGGTGGTGAGGGGAGCAAGGGATTTTTGCTCCAGGCCCAGGCATTCCAAGTGGCCTAGACAGGCAGGTTCTTTTAAGTCATAAATGACTTTTGTATAAAACTTAAGAATGTTTGTGTTGGAACACTTCTAGGGCACAGCTACCCATGTCTAAAATATAGGAACAGAACTAAAAATCACCATGATCCTACACTCAGGAGATAAGGACTTGGGTATCAGCTGGGGAGGTGGGGCATTAAAAACTCCTCTTGGACTCAAGAATTTCTGGGGGTGACAATGGTATTTACCTTCACACGCCCCCATAAGGCAGGACAGGGCAGGACTGTTATCCCCATTTTACATGTGTGGACTGAGGCACAGGGACATTGAGGTGACATATGAAGTTCACAAAAGAGCAGGTATATGAACCCGGGTCTCATGAGTACTGCTTTAACCACTGGACCAGTATTCCTATGCCTGTCTATACACTATGTAAATATGAGTTCCCTGGGCCAAGAAAGTTTCCTCTTCTGCTAAGCTTGGTGGTTATATTACCACATAGCAGGCTAGCCCAGAGCCATTTGAAAAGCCAATAAGGTGAGTCTGGTGCCTGCAGGAGAAGAGATGTGGCTAGACTCATTTCATGGACATGGGCAGAAGCCACCTATGGGCAAACAGAGTTTCCTAGCTTGGGCTCATGAAAGCTTATGCTATATAGCTCTGATTTAATTAGTCTAGCAACTGCAAATCTACCCTGACCTCTGTCCTACTTAGCGAACCCAAACATCTGTTACAATCCCAGGAGCATAGGAATACTGGTCCAGTGGTTAGAACAGAGCAATTCTTCTGTTGCAAAGAACTCAGAAAGACCACAACTGGATAAAATCTTTTTAACACTAGGGATTCCTATTTGAAATCTCTGGGTTAATCCTGTGAATCATGTTTCCACACCTAATGGTGCTAACATTGCCTGGCACCCCACATCCCTTTGAAAGGATCTCAAGGCACCCCAGGGTGCCATGGCATCCTGGTTGAGAATCACTGGGCTAAGCTGTAGACAGCAGGAAGTGATGTCACTGCCAACAGCTGAGAACTCAGTGAAATTCCCATTGGCTTCAATGGGCTTCAATGCAAAGCCCAAATGCTCCATTCCAGGTGGTTAAGACTCATTCTCATTCAGTCATCCCAGTGCTGCCATAGCTGCGGATGGCATCCAAGCAGCATTTTCATCAAGCAGAATGTGCTTGTGCATGCACAGATGGATTCATGCTAAGATGAAAATGAGGCTTTGATGGAAAATACCAGTGATTAGTTCTAATGCTGGAGGGAGCTAAATAAATATGTAGTGCTTGATGCTGCACACTGGCAGTATGTGCAGGACTCCCAGCAATGTCAATGGGAGCTCCACTGCGGGAGGGTTAAGAAGATCAGGCACTTACTAGATAAAAAAAAAATGCATTGTTTATAGAAATAATCATCTCAATTACGTTAGAACCTACAGACCCAGACAGCAAGCAGGGGACAGGGATGGTGGGTGCCTTATGCATGCATAAACTAAAATCAAACCTGGAAGTTTTACTACTTAAATAGGCACAGGTGGGGAGGGCAATAGCAGTGAAATGACTCCTATGGTTAGAAAGAGAACAGAACCCAGATGTCTTGACTTGTAGCCCTGGTCCCCATCCACTGGGCTAGAACCATGTTGTCCTGACTATCTGCCCAGTATCCTGTGGAGTAGGCAACACCCCTTCTCCCCACACCATGTTTAGCATTCTATGTGACCCTGACTACTGCTGCTGTTTACTAGGCCAGGCTCACACAAGTTTTTGCCAGCAGTTATAACAGTGAGGAATATGATTTTCTCCTAGAACTCTGCAGACTGATCAAGTCCCCTGGCATGTTTGCCAACAGCTTATTTTGCTTAGGGAGTTGCTGCAAACTGCATTAGCCAAAGCACTTCACTGTCAGTAGAAGGTTTGCCCACTCAAGGACAGTATTATTGGTGTCCCTCTCTGACACATACAGATGCTTCACACAAGTGCATAGTTGCTGGTGCAGATTTGGGGAAAGCAGCCGTGTATACCTGCTAGGCCCCAGGCAAGCTGCTTTGGCAGACAGGTATTCAACAAATGCCACTTCTATTTGAACACAGGAAGTTCCATAGGGGACTAATAGACTAATAGTGGGGCACATGCCACCCCGACAGGGCTGTCCCTGCTGCCAATGCCAGCATCTGTGGGTGTTCACCAGCTCTCTCCCTGCTGCCAACGCTGGTGTCTGCCGGTGCTCACCAGCTCTGTCCCTGCTGCCGCTGCTGGCATCTGTGGATGCTCACCAGCTTTGCCTCCACCACTGATACTAGCTTCTGCAGGTGCCCCCCCAGACTCAGGAGGCACCAGTTGCCCACGGGATGTTCTCATGTCTGTTGAAAGTCCTACTGGAAAAAATAAGACTGCCCTTATGCCAGCTCTGAACTCTGCTTTCTAAGTGGGGGCTGTGCTCCTTGAGTCCTCCCATTATTAATGTCTCTCTGAGCCCAGCAGCAGCAATGACCTCATTAGGTTTTCCCCGAAGGCAAGAGCTTCCTACAGGAGCATTAATTGCTCTTTTTCTATTTCAGAAACTTTAGAAGATGGTGCCCAGTGACTTGCCTTTCTCTGTAAATAGATGCATCTGTGAGGAGAGGGTCTGTGTTACACTGTGCTTGCCCTGTAAGAACTGTGGGCCTGAGCACAAGGGGCTTACTTCAAACACAGTGAGCTGACAAGAACACAGACGATCTCCTCTGTCTTGCAAGGTCTGAATACCCTGAGAGAAACAGAACATAGGGGCTAGAAAACTGTTCCTTGTAGCCTGGAACTGGGCATGAACATGCTTATTATGTTCATACAAAGGGCTTGATTCTGCAATGTGCTAAGCTCCCTCATTTTCTCAGTTCCATGGGGCAATGCAGAGCGAGTGGGCTGCTCCGGTCTGTGGGACAGGAAGATTCTTCCCTGCCCCTCCCTCCATCACTGTGTGAATGAGATGGGATCATGTTGGAGCAGGATGAGTGTCTGCAGGGAGGGGAATGAACCAGTGTGCTGTCTTCACAGAAGGGTCACGGGAAGTCAATGTGTGCCACTGAGAGTGTGTACTGTCTTTTTCTTCTACCCTCAGTACTTTCCAGGGCGCCACTTCCTAGCTTAGTTCCTGTGGATACTGTAATAGAAACATCCCTGTGGTGTCCAAATACTGATCAGGCTAGGACTCCCATGATGCTCACAATGTAAGCATCAAGAAAACACAGGAGAATGTGCAGACAGGGCTGCCAGCATGTAGGCTGGGGGGAAGGATTTGGGTGGCAGGGAACCCTTGATTGCACTTCTTGTTTGGCAGACACAGTGAAGCTAGAACCCTCTCCAAAAATGTTGTGCAGTGGCAGAGGCATCTCATTACAGACCTGAAGCCCTGAGCCCAGGCTCAGGGCTGTTCTTAGGCTGACCCAGCTGTCGGGAGTCGTATTTTGTCCTGTACTTGCACAGCGCCAGGTGCTGCACATTCTTTAGGACCCTGCTTCACTGCTAGGCCGCCCACGCACTACTGCAGTCCGAATGATAAACAGGGCTTCTGGAACATCTCTCCTGGAGGCTCTGCCCCCTCCTCCTTTCTGTCTGAGCTCCTCCTCTGGCTCCAGAAGAAGCTCAACAAGTTCAGCACTTGCTTTCTGAGCTGGATTTTTTTTCAGCCTTCAAGAAAGCCATTCATGTCTATTTTTAAAACCCTGCCCCACTAGCAAAAAGCTTTTCCATTGTCTCCCCACAGTCCTCAGCCTGCGATCACTCAGCCCATTATAAATGGGTCTTATCGGCAAAGAAAAGTCTTGCTTTATAGGGAGCTGCTGCTTAATTAAACAG